GTAGGGCAGAACACCGAACTTTTAAAGAAGTGGCCAACCCATGTTTCTAGAATTCCAGTCGCCATCAGACAAGTGACACAGACCGTCACAAACTAGTCGTATCTTGATCATGGATCATACAATGCCTGCAAAGACGACGTAAAAGGCTCCAGAACAAGGCAGCCGCAAGCTGTTCGCCACAATCTGTATCACCTTATTCATGGAAAGAAGGCTGCATTACGACACCCGATGGCGACAGTGTTTGTACTAAGGTTGTTTCGGTAGTTGATGAGGCATTTGCATGCAACCTATGTCACCAATGGGCGCATTGCCAGCGCGACACCAAAGTCCCCCGACAATACTATAAGCTGATGAAGAGACGACCATGCAAGTGGTTCTGGTGCATCTGTCCGGGGTGCAGGAACGTGCCCGTTCCTCGCGCAGAAAGCCTGAAGGTGATGCTCTCCGCCACGCAAAAGCTACCAGTATCCTCGAACGAAGTAGGGTTAGCGCTAAAGGATAGCACAGAGAGACCCGGAAACAGACCTAGAGCTCCAGCTGCGGGCACGCCACCTCGCGTGGGGGCCACATTAGTTTAAGCCTCCGTGCCTCCTACTCGGCCTCAGGGAACATCGGGCGCATGGCCAAAGACATCGACCGCTGAACCCCCTACGAAACCCACCCCAGGCATTTCACACACCGTGACTGAGGAACGACCAGTGGAATTACTCAAACCCATTGGGAAGTCGGGCGTGCCACCCACAACGGACCCAGGTCACAGGAGGGCCAAGTCGATCATTTTGTTCGGCGTCGATGTATCGACAGACTCACTGTTGGTCCAGAGGGAACGGTTTGACAACCGAATGTGGACCGGCCACTGTCAGATGCTGAGACTCCCTCCCCTCCCTATAACTTTGTGTCGCCTTTCTCGAGGAAGCTGGGCACCCCGAGATAAGCCTCCCCCTTTTCATGTGTCCCTAAATACTGCCAAAGAGGCTGAATGCACCCTCCTTCTCTCGCAACAACCGGACTTTGTTAATGCCTGTAAAATTTGGGCCAGGCCTGACGAGCCATGGTCAATAAGAGAGGAGGAGAGAAAGTCAGCGGTTGAAAATCCCGACAGAAACAATACTGTAGTTGTACATAGGATTCCAGAATTGCCAAGTGACCGCTAGGTAAAAGATCGGTAATTTCACGACGTCCAACAATAGCAGTGGCTCTCAACCAAAGTTGGTCTCAACAGTATACCGGCCGGTGGCGTCAGTAGACTGCCGAGGTCAGCGCATCTGAAGTCCATACCCAATCCCAGACTACAAGACGTCCAGATCGACCCATATGTCTTCCCCACGACGTTCTACACGCATGATATAATGCGAAAGATCGCATGGGTGGGTCAATACGTATGTGTGAAAGTAAGCCTAGACCCACAAGGCAAGAGGAGAGACGACAACCACCAGGACCTCTGGAGTTGGCGGTCGTCACGTAGGCGCTGGCCAGTGAGTTAGGTACATCAAGCAAAGAAGACACCGTTGCCACAGTTCCTACCCAAGTTGAAAACAAAACACAGAAAACGGAACAATACCAGTTCTATGAGGACTGGCGACGCTAGACCCAACCACGTAAGCACTCATTTTGCGAAAATACACAACCAGCTCTCCCCTCCCACCAGGCACACTCTAATATGTATGTACGGCAACGTTAAAAGGCCAAGAGGGAAGGTAGCAGAAATGAGGACGCTGCGTGAAAATCAGCACTCCGGCATCATATTCATCACCGAATCCTGGCTCTCGCCGGACATCTCCTACGAAGGGATGCATGTTGCTGGCATGGAACTCTTGCACAGGGACAGGGAACATAGAGCAGGAGGGGGGTGGCTCTCCACGTAAACTCCCGTTTAGAGGCAAGGGAGGTTAGCGATACGGCCTTGACCCAGCTCCCAGAATCTCCTTGGTAGTACTCCACTCTCCACTGTACCAAGTACCTTCTCGGAGTCATATATCGGTCCCCCACCAGCTCCCCTACACATGAGGAAATGTCATCAAGGCAATCTTAACGACTTCCTCTGCAAATTGCGCTTCCGTAGTCATCGCCGGCGACTTCAACACCCCATCCATCCTCTTCGAGAATGAAGGGAGACGCGTCAGATACTTCAGTCAGAAGCTGAAGGATGCAATTAAGACTGCTGGCCTCTCAGAGAAAGTGGGTGATGCCACACGCATCGCGCCTTGACTACGTTCTGACGAACGATGAACTTCTCATTGAGGACGTTTGCATCCAACCTCCTCTTGGCCTCAGTGACCACGCTGTAATCACCTTCTCCATGATTACTAGGAAGGCTCTGCAACTGGAGACGTCCAACACCTTCCCTTGCTACAGCAAGGCCAACTATGAGACCATGAGGGACTATCTCATGAGTGCATCATGGCCGGTAGACTCGCCTCATCCCACAATAGATGAACACTGGTTGGAGGTGAAGAAAATAATCACTGGGGCCATCAGCCACAGTGTACCAGAAGTAACACGGACGACCAGTGAGAACCTCATGGTTAAAGCGTGGGACAGAGAGGCTTATCCAGGGCAAGAAGCAGGCTTGGTTCAAGTGGCGTACATCACGCAGGGAGTCTGACTTCTTGAACTACAAAGGGATTCGCAACCGCCGTAACATTAGAGTGGGCAGCGACAAATTTACCTATCAAACAAACTCGGTGGAGAGGTGACAGGGCAATCCCGAAAACGTACCGCTTCATGTCGAGAAGAAAGTCTACCGGCAGGGGAGTGAATCTTGTCACAGGCCATGACGGGAGTGTACTAGGCAGTCTAGAGATTGCCGAGCTTTTGAGCTCACACTTCCAAGCCCAACTTAGCGCTGACACAAGATCCACACCGACTCGCTACGACACCGACCAGGTGGTAAATAACGAATACCTCTGTCACATCTCAATTACAGAGAAAAAAGTGTTCGAGAAACTATCTAGGCTACGTCCAGGCAAGTCCCCTGGCCGCGATAACCTAAAGCCAGTGGTTCCAAAAAACTGCGCCGAGGTGCTTACTAAACCACTTCGCAACCTTTTCGAGCACTCAATAGGGTCGCGCAAACTCCCTAAAGAATGGAAGAGCGCCATCTTGTCACCCATCTTCAAGGGAGGAGACAGAAAAAGCCCTGGCAGCTACAGGCCAGTTGCTCTACTCCCTATTGTGTCGAAAGTGTTGGAAAGCCTGGTAGCTGACACCATCTTGGAATTCCTCAATAGGGAAATCACTGTCCATACTGCTCAGCATGGCTTTCGGAGTGGTCGCTCATGTGCCACCAACTTACTAACCGCCCGGGATGACTGGACAAAGCTGGGATAACAAAAACCGGTACATGTTGTATTTCTCGACCTAGCCGAAGCATTTGACAGTGTCCCCCCGTAATCCTGCTTCACAAGATCATGTCAGCTGGTGTAAGTGAACCCCTACTCTCTTGGTTCAAGGAGTACCTGGAAGGGAGGCAGTTCTGCACTAAAGTAAACAGAATAAGGTCGGAGTGGAGACCCTGGACGTCAGGAGTATCCCAAGGAGCAATCCTAGGACCGCTTCTGTTCCTCCTGTTTGTCAACGATCTGCCAGATAAAATATCCTCACCCATCCTCCTCTTCGCTGACGACATAAAAATTTGGAGGGTGGTAAACGAAGAAGCTGATTGCACAGCACTACAAAAGGACTTGCAGCAACTCGAGCTCTGGTCGTCGGAAAATGGCCTGAGCTTCAACCTGGAAAAGTGCAAAGTAATGCACATCAGTAAAAATGAAGCAAGTACGACCAACTTCCAGTACGTGTTGAGCAACCGTGCTATCACCAGAGTGTCCATGGAGAAAGATCTGGGGCTCAACTTCTCCAGCACCTTGGACACCATCTCCAACTACAAAGGTATGACAACCAGGGTGAATGCCGTCCTACATTTTTCGCGTAGACAGCTTGGAGCCCTCACTCCCGAACTCTTCCTCACCATTTTCAAATCATGCGTGCGGCCGCATCTAGAGGTCTTCAGTACGGTGGCTCCTCCAACACTCAAAAGAGACTCTAATCTCCTTGAAAGAATACAAAGAACTGCAACAAAATCTGTTGTGGGGCTTAGGGGAAAAACGTATTCTGAAAGACTTAAACACCTAAACCCATTTACCTTCGGTTATCGCAGGAAAGGGGTGACCTTATTATGGCATACAGGATCGCCCATCAGGCAGACCAGGCAAACAAATCACTCTGCCTGCAGCTCAAGGATCTTCGCGACGAAACCCCATTAAGATAACACACCAGAGAGCCAACACCATTCTCAGGTCCAAATTTTTCTCCCTAAGAGTATGTGCTTTATAGAATGCCTTACCGCAACATTTCGTTATAGCTCCCTCAGTCAACTCATTCAAGAGACGATTAGACAGTTACATCATCTCGCATGGACTACCACGAACGTACTCAGGTAGTCACCAACCTCACTAGCCCCCAACTCTCTCCTAACTACCACTCACTATCTCCCTCCTTAATACACCCACATTACCTACTAATTCTTCCATAGGAACCAAACCATTCGCGCAATTCCCAAATACTTTTCCTTCCTTCTTATTCCTCTTTTTCACCCCTCCTTTTATTCTCCTTCCTTCTTTTCCCTTTTCTCTTCTCTTCCCTTATCATTATTTTTCTTCTTTTTCCTTTTTCCTTTTTTCTTCTCTCTTCATTCTTTTACCCCTACCTTACTATTCCATTTCAGGTACCTACGCAGACAGGAGTCAGGGCAGTTCCCTAAACTTCTCAGAAACTCCTAGTCCCCCAATCACTCTACAAATTACAACTTACTAACCCACAAAACATCCACCTCAAGGGAGCTAAAAGCGAGAAAACAGAGGGGATTTCCTCATCCACTACAAGAGTAAACCAAACAACTCAAGTCAGGCCCTAAGAAATAGACGCAAGAGATCAAAAACTACCAGTTTTCTATGCTTGCACTATCAATATTGGATATTGGACGAAGATACGCAAATAGTCCTGAATACTTCTCGTGGTGGGATGTTTATTTTCTCAAGGTCTTGAAGCAGAATTATGTTTATCCACCCTTCTCTTTTTTCACTCACCATAAGCCGTATCTAAATATCAGTTTAGGGGGTAAGTGTTTCAGCTTTTATATTCTCTCCATCTCAGAAATTATGCGTTGTCTTTACCATTCGCGAATTAGGGTGGCGAATCCGGTGGTTGATCTAGATGGGGATGAAATGGCTCGGATAATTTGGGAAAAAATTAAATCCACTGTAACTACTTAATATGTTTCTCACTGCATAGCAGCTCATACTTCCATACGTCGATGTTGAGTGCAAATATTACGATCTAGGTATCACCAATCGTGATCAAACCAATGATCAAGTAACAATTGATGCTGCTCACGCCATTAAGAAATACAATGTAGGGATAAAGTGTGCTACTATCACTCCTGATGAACAACGCGTGAAAGGTACGGTAATCCAAAATGATAAGTCGTTTCTAGAGTTTAACTTGAAAAAAATGTGGTTGTCTCCGAATGGGACTATTCGTAATTTCCTTGGTGGAACAGTTTTCCGCGAACCCATTGTATGTAAAAATGTTCCTCGGCTTGTCCCTGGATGGGTTAAACCTATCGCTATTGGACGTCACGCACACGGAGATCAAGTAAGTTCCCTAACTCACAAGTTAGTCTGATAATAATAATCACTATATTAAGGAAGGGGTACCTTGTTAGTAGTTGGAATTAGTCAACTACTTAGAACTTTTTGTAACTAGTGTTAGATAATTTGGTTCCGATTCACACTGCATTGCAGGTAATATTGTTAAAGGGTTCGTCTTCGCACATGAATTACCAAGTAATGAGGCAGCCTCTTTTTTTGTTGACAGGGTTTTTCCACAATAAACTCTGTCTTCAAAATGTTACATGTTAAAGCTAATACCATCTTTCTCGTTTAACTTTCGAGCATTGGAAGCACTGAAGTTAAGTTAGTGTCCGTCATCCTAACCTACTAGATGTTTGGAAAATAAAGACGCATTACCAAGTTTTACGGAGACCTCATTTCTAATCCTATGATTAAGAAGGAACATGTTATCTAAGCAAACAATTTAAAGCGCTCTGTAGAATTCGCTACTGCATCCACGGGTACGATAACTATTCGAGTCATATGCTTTCATTATATCGAGTTAGGCTGGAGTAGCACCCGTTATAGTACCATGCTTCCAATACGGTACTTCGACGTTGTATATACAGAACCCTCCCAGTCGTTTGATTTCATGTTGAATGATCGTTTGGCACTATTAATTTTCTTATATGTAGTAAAGATGCCCAGCAAGCAGTATGGTTTGAGCACATAGTTCTCAAATAAAAGAAGCAAACTGGTGGCTGATGTGAACTATACCATTCATTATGTTGGTTGTGTTACTCACGTCTAACTATTATCCTTGCTAAATTTCCATCCGCTTCACTTTTTACTTTTCCACTTTCATTTTCAGTTAGTCATATTACGTTTGATAATTTACATAATTGTGGATGTATTGTTTTATCTCATGAATGTATTTGTGCATTCGACATCATAAGCTTTCCGATTGATAGAATCAACATTAAAATTGTAATATATTATATCTTTATTCTTTACAACTCATCCCCTGTTGTTCTCAAGACTTTTAAGGTCTATGACTTTACTGCATTCCAGAAGACGAATAGAGCGGAAAAAAAATTCAATCAGCTTTTCGTCAGTGGCTGTACACTAACATTATTATTTGTCCCTTGGGTTCCTAGTGGAACATAGGGCTTCAGTAGCACGTCTCCATTGCACTCTGTTCTCTGATATCTTTTGAAACTGGCTCCACGACTGTCTAAAAGCTCTCATTTCTTCCTCACATGATCTCCATGTCACCCTCAGACGCCCCACTCGCCGTTCCCCATATGAGTTCCAGTCGAGTGCCTGACTCGTGATGTCCCCAAATGGTCTTCTCAGTACATGCCCTATCCATCTGCACTTCCTTCTGCATATTTGTTGAGCGATAGGTTGTTAGTTGGTGCTTTGCCGGGCCAGAGCTCCGTGTTGCTTATTTTTTCTGGCCACCTGAGCTTCAGTAAGGAGCCAGCGTAGGCAGTTGTTGATGAATGTCTGCAGTTTGTTGGAAATGCCTTTCGTAACGCGCCAAGTCTCTGAACCATATAGAAGCACTGACTTGATGTTGGTGTTGAAAATCCGGATCTTGTTGTTTATGCTGAGTGCGGAAGGTCTCCACACTGGTTTCAGGTTGACGAACGCTTCTTGCTTCTCCGATCCTGGCTGGTTTGACGTCCTCGTCTGTGCCGCCGCCTGTGGTTGAAACGGTGATGCCTAGATAGGTGAAAGAGGCTACTTCCTTTAAGTTTCTCCCATTGATGGTGATTGAAGTTTGTTGTTGTTGGTGGTGTTGGTTGGGTATCTTCATCACCTCTGTCTTCTCCACATTCACTTGAAGTCCCGTCTTCGCTGACTCGCCTCTTCTGTCAACTTGTTAGATTTTGCCTGTAGATCTTCGAGTTTATGTGACATTAGACACAAGTCATCGGCGAAATCCGAATCTTCTAGGATCGTTTCCTCAGTCCAGCGTATGCCCCTCTTCTCGCTCCTCACTGTTTGTTGCATGATCCAGTCGACCATAATCACGAAGGTCATACGTGTTATTAGATAGCCCTGTCTTACTACTGTCTTCACTTCAAAGGCATCACTGAGCTTGCCATTGTGAATCACATGGCATGTGGCGTCTTCACATAGCTGTTGAATGAGTCTGATAAAGGTTTGTGGTATTACGTAGTGTTGAAGCAACTGCCTGGCAAATTACTTCCCGGTCGACGTTTTCAAAAGCCTTTTCAAAGTTGATGAAGTTGAGGTGGAGGGTTGACTGCCATTCTATACTCTGTTCAATGATGATGCGTAGAGTGGCGTTGCAATGTGATCCGCATATGATTTGTTTTACCTGAGGCCAGTCAGCCTGTTTCGGTCGTAGTTTTGAATCCAGCGCAACCATTAGTCTCTCCAGGATGGTGTGGCTTAATATTTTGCTTGCTTTGGGTGGACAGGAGCATGATTCCGCACCAGTTCTTGCAAAGGCTTAGGTCGACCTTCTTCGGGAGTTTGACAAGGTAACCCTTCTTCCAATCTGCAGGTACCTTCCCTTCTTTGCAAACCTTCTGCAGTAGTGGTGTGGTGTGAGCATGTCCGCTGTTGTCTCTGCGTCTGCTCCCAGTGCTTCTGGCGGGATTCCATCTGGTCTTGCTGCTTTACTGCATTTCAGTAGCTTTATAGCTCTCAATACTTCGACTTTTGTTGGAGGATTTGTGTTCACTTGTAGTTGTGTGGCTGCAGGTGGTATTTGTGGACGAAGTGCAGGTGGTGATCGACTCAAGAGCTTTTTGAAGTGGTCATCTCATCCTTTCCTTTGTTTCTTCTCCTCGTTAACTAGGTTTCCTTTATCATCTTTCATTGGTTTCATCTGCGTTGATCTCTTCCCCTCCAGATAGTAACCTGGTTATTTGATATAATGTTGTCAGATGTCTGTCTCTCCTACCAGCAGCCTGTTCTATTCCACTTGCCAGTGTGTCGAGGGAGTGTCTTTTGTCGTTCCGCACACTCTTATTCACTTCTTTGTCCAGTGTAGTGTTCTATACGTTGTACTCAGTTGCTCTTCTCGTCGTTCATCCTTGCATTGGTTTATCTTCTGCTTCACCATCTTCTTTCTTCTTCCTTCCCAACACGTTATTGCAGGTTTCCTTCCACATCTCTTTCAAAGAGTTCTAGTGCTCGTCCACACAGGTTTCTTCAGGGATGTTGCTCGATATCTCCCATTTTGTCTTGATGGCTGACGTGAAGATGTCCCTTGTAGTTTCGTCCTTCAGTTCAGTTCCTGGGTGGGCGTTGAACTTGGACTGTGGTCTACCACCAACTTCCTTGAAGGCTTTCAACTTGATTTGAAAGGCAGGTTCCTTGCACTAGATAGTGAGTGGTGTGAACCTACATCTGTTCCCGTTCTTCATCTTGTGTCCGGTAGGCCGCGTCTCCACTTTCGTCACATTCAGGTGAAGTCGATCCGATTTTTAGTGTGTCCTGGTGTCTGGTGAAATTAAGACCGTGTCGGTTTATAGATGTCCTTGTGCTTGAACACACTGCCTCCCCTCCAATCACCAAATCGTTGAATGCGCAGAAGTCTGCAAACAGTTCTCCATTCTCGTTTATTCCACCGAGCGCTTCTCGGTCCATGGTTTGTTCTCTTCCTGTGTTGTCCGCTCCCAGTTTGGTATTCATGTCACCCCACCCCTTAGAATGAGTTTTGATGTCGCCAACTTGCGTGGGGTCTTGTCCAGTGTTGATTCCAGTTGTCTGTAGAATTCCTCCTTCTTCTCTTGATCTGCATCATTTGTAGGTGCGTCGCGTTGTACGATTGTGACTTCCCTTGCTTTTGAGTTGGACCTTGCTGTCATGATCTTGGAGGAGATTGGTTCCCATTGTATGAGAGCCTTTGATGATGTCAAGGATATCATGATGGCCACTTCCTCCGTGTGCTCATGGTTGTCGTCTGGGTGACCGGAGTAAGTTATTGACTCTCGAGTTGACAGTTTAGAGAGTCCACTTCCATTCCACCTGCTTTCGCAGAAACCCAGCATAGCACTTGTATGCTGCACCTTCTCATCTCTTTTGCAATCTGGACAGGCTTGCTAGGTTCAAACATGGTGCAGACATTCCATGTCGCCACGTTTACTTTCGCTTTGATGGAGGGAGAGAAGACACATCGGCCCGTCCGATTGGTTTCCCGAAGGCTTTCACCAGGCGGCGTCATTTTGTCTCCCCGATTCCAGCGAGGAATAAGTTTGTTTTTATTTCTTATATTTTGTGTGTTGTTTAAAGTTTCTGTTGCAGACCCCTGTTCTGTGTGTTTACTTCTTATTTCAAACGGGGTTTTGTTAAACCTACTACCTGCATACTTGTAAGTAGTCGGAAAGTATAGCTTTAACTCTACTAACCTCTTCCCTTGATTGTTCCGGCATGTTTTCTAACTGGATTTCGATATAGGTCGTACTGCATCACAACGGTTATAAGGTAGGGAACCGAAGCACAGAACTGCTAAATATATCACGTAACAATCTCTGGAAAAGTTGTGAAAATACTGACCTGGATTGGTTGACGACCCTATCAGGGGAGCTCGGTTTTACGAACTCATGGCTAACCTGACACGTTTCCTTCTTTAAATTAGCAACTTTATTTATATAATCTGTAAGATCTTGTCTATTTGAGATGTTGGTTGACAGTACAGAATCTACTGCAAAACCTTTCAACATTCCATAAAATAGTACTTTTTTTATTTCACTGTGTATTGAGCTATCGAACAATCTCAAGATTTTCAATACTCCAATGTATGACAATGCTACTATATATACATGGGTAAAATCTACAATGGCATCTCCCTCACCATGCATTGAATATACATTGGTTATCAGCTAATGACCTCTTACAAAAAACGAAACTCCAAAGTATTCATGACTGAAAATAGGTTAAAAAACAATTCTCTTCAATTCGCTTCTTACCAACCTTTTAAAATTCGACTAGGTGGATGTATGCAAGCCTGTTTATGAACCGTATTCATTATCTATAGGCCGATTATACTGTCCGGTTTTCAAGCTGAAGTAGGTAGAGCGAAATTCTAACCTCTGACATTGCTCGAAAATTAAATGCTAAAGCCATGGAGCTACATCACTGCACCACAACAATGTATTACTTTGATATCTCTGTTTTTCTTATTAAACCCGACATCTATTTGCTATTGTGGAACGTGAAAATGTCAGCTAATACGTGACTGTACCATGACGTGTGTAATTAATGTCTATTCGTTAAAACGAACAACAATACCAATTATAGTTTGCGACTATATACACTACGGCTGCTTTATGTTTGTCATTTTGTTATGAGTGTAATTTAGTCGACAAATTAATTCCTTATGTTTTTCAGTCTCTTTATTCTTTTGTGATGGGCATATATGACGTCGCTGCTTCATAATAAGTTTTAATTTCTGATTTCAAGTACAAAGCAACAGATGTGATCATCAAAGAGGAAGGAGTTATGGAACTTGTTTTCAAAGCAAAATCAAGCGGGTCAGAAGTACGCAATAAAGTGTTTGAATTCAGTGGAGGCGGAGTATGCCTTGCTATGTACAATACTGATGAAGTGAGTTCAAAGAAAAGTAACTTGCTTTAATGATTTCAATTTTTGTGTATGATTGATATCCACGTTATGCTAATGTTTTGTTCTAAATAGTTCTGCAGTTCATGCTTTGTATTTTCTCTCCTAATTGTCATATGCTCTTTATTCATCTATGTAGAGCATTCATCGTTTCGCACACAGCTGTTTTAAATATGCTTTGAATAAAAATTGGCCTTTGTATTTGAGCACTAAGAATACAATCTTGAAACAATACGATGGCAGATTCAAAGATATCTTCCAAGAGATATATGAAAAGTAAGAAAATTGTTAGATGACTACACTTTTTTAATTATATTGTAGGGTAGACAAAAGATTATTCGTGCATAGATTAGCATTTGCGCTAAAAATTTAGCTAGTATTACAACTGAGTTTAGAATTTGTGTTCATCATAAAACTGGGAATTGGAAATTTATTTTGAACTTCACTATCTAACTTGGTAACAATTATTACTCGTTATAAACCTCTGCAGTTTGAAGATAAAAACTGTATTTGAATTAAAACACTGCTATCATTTTTCAAAATCTTGCTTTAGGATTTGAGATTTGCAGCTCTATTACTACGAGGTATATTACGTTAAGAAATACTACCTATGATATCTTCTGAGTATCAGTGGATATAAGTTTTGTCTAAAAATGAAGTAAGGCCAAGTTTCTATGGTTCTATGGTCTATGTGTAACAGCTCTCGAATAGATGTCCCGTGGGCTCTTCGGTTACGCAAAACTATTCCTTTTTCACCTTCAGGCAGAAACATTTTTCACTGTTTTGGAAATTTGGAAGTACCAACCGCCTGCGCATTTCCAACAGTATACAAAACTTAGTCAACAATAATATATCCTCCTTGCTTTTGTCTCCTTTACTTTGACTTCCTGATACCAGTATTAAACCTTGTACACGTTGTTCAACGTTTCACTCTGCGACCATTTGCTGACAATTCAAATCAACTACGTACCATTTTTAGTCTCCTATGACCCCGCTACTGATTTCGCAATCGCGCTTCCTGACAATAGGTCTCGCTTGTCAAAACTCTGGAATCTCGAGTCATAAATGTATGCTGTGTTTCCAAGACAAGTACACAGGACTTGTGTGGCTGTTTACCTGACCTCACGTGACCAATATAGTAAATCTGTAAAATCCACTTTACGAGTGTCCATGGACTCTGTTGTAAATATATATCATTAATTTACCGAAGAGAAACCACACTTAGCTGGATATCAGTCCACAGCCGTCTATGTGGTATCCGACTGGATGGATCTGTAAGAACCAGGAAGATTCGTTAAACTTGCTGATGTTTACTCATAATCTCCGCAGACTGCAGTTCGGATGATATAAAAAGTGGATTTTATCAAAACCTGTTGATTTTACTACATGAAATAGAATGGTCAAATATATTCATAATCAAGTAAGAAGTCTGAGCCGGTCAGGGAGGCATTTTGGATGTATCTACGGAATCCTATGGCAACAAACCGACAGTGGTGATCGTCTGTTGCAATTTTGTTCTGATAATCACTTGTTTCTAACCAATCTTGACTTCAAGCGTATGGAGAAACACCGTCTCACTTGACGTCCATCGATATCAAATCAATGATGAACACATGTAGATCATATTGCAAGCCATCTTTTCAGAGGACAGGAGAAGGATTGTCGTTGTTTCTGGAAAACTTGTTTGGACTGCGGTCATGCATTCCTACTTGCGCGTATATGCTTGCACCATATTGGTCGCAGGAAACTGGCGGTAGTCAAACCCTTTTTGTTCTGGATTCTTTGTTGATTTCATATGTCATTTTCAGTCTGTGTATATAGTTTTTCATTACGGGTCCAGTGTGGCTAGTTACAAAGTTTTGCAGTTGACAGATACTATTGAAAATCGTCAGCATTTGGATCAAATGTTTGCATATTATCTCTTGTTCATAGTGGAATCTCTATGTAAGCAATATCAAAGTTAAACATAGGTTTGTAGGTAAAGGAAAAATTAATTTATGATTTTGTAAGCCTGTGACAATTGATTTGGCTGCGACGTGTTACAAATATCTAAAACGTATATTCAACTCACTAATAATTTGCGCTTGCATATAAGCATTGCACTTTATGTGACGATTAATAACATGAACATGATATCCGCATCTTTTGAGTACATTGCAGTTCAAATCACACCCCAATGAATAAAAATCGATAACCTAAACCATTGAAACACCTTCCTACTCTACAACCCATTTTCGCATTTAATGTCAACTGAGGTTATGAAGGGCTTAATATTGGCTAAATCAAGGTATGCTACTGATATATGAAGTCAATAGGTGCCTTTCTGAATCCTGGTGCTAGGTTCACGCTTAGCGTATGGCGAATTTAATGGTCCCTTAAATAGTATTACTGTTCATAGAATTCCTTCATAATATCCGTGTTTCAGCTGTCTTTTCAAATCGTTGTTAATCTTTCTTCGATTCCCCATAAATTAATGCAATGAAGAACAGACATTAAGTAACAGTTCTCTTTCTATAGATTTCTTTTGTCGCAGAGCTGCAGATTTGGTAGTTAGTGTTTTTGCCCGGATACACAAAAATCTTAAATCTGTCTCAATTACAGTCCTATATGATTAAGTATCTACTACATTGTCAAGTTGGCCTGCAAAATGTGTCGTCAATGGTTACAGCACGTTTTTGTTTGAGTTCGTAATTCAGCATGACCATTCCATTTAGATCACGTCCTTTATTTTCTTAGTTAACATACGCCAATCGCTGGTTGTGTTTTCCTTAAGAATCCAAACTTAAACTAGATGTTTTGGTGTTGTATCCTAACTCCTCGTATTTCCTTCTATCTCTCTTTGTAGAGACTATCAAGATGAGTTTGAAGCGACTAACATTTGGTATGAGCACAGATTGATTGATGATATGGTGGCACAGGCAATTAAATCAGATGGTGGTTTTGTTTGGGCGTGTAAAAATTATGACGGTGACGTTCAAAGTGATATTATCGCTCAAGGCAAGTAATACTTTTGATCCACGGTTACCCTGTATATTACCTCTTCCAGAACTCATTGTTTTTATCATCATGAAAACCCTTTTCCACACTGGTGGTTAAATTAAGCGAGAACGTAGGTCTCAATGGGATTTAGGTCAACCGCTTTTGTGTCAGTGATTGAACGCTCTAACAATCAACCTAGGAAGCCCAGTTGGCAATATAGTATTGGTGTCACCATCATCCTTGGGCATTAGCGATCTAGCTTCACACATCACCGCCTAGTTTACAAGTTACAAGCCTTCAGTTGAAGCTTAAGTGCAACCCAAACTTTGTCCTGACCTCACTTTCCTTCCAATAAAGAGAAAGTTTCATATTTACGAAGCGAAAATATTTACAGTCTATCCGTAATCTTAAATTCAGGAAACAGCAAGAACAAAAATGTGCGGAGGTAAACTAGGCCACTTGAAGATATAACTGACTTAAATATTGAAATGGTGGAATAGTTGTTGCGGTCGTTTTTATTCAATTTGGTAACGAGAATGACGAATTTAGGTCACAGAAATTGAACCAACCAACCAGCTATGATACTTGCTGTGTGTTCTAATATTGAATTATGCCTGCGAATGTATTTTCAATTCAGTAACCGATTACTTATCATTCTTTGTTGGGTCAGTTAGTTTTCTTAAAATCTATGTATGGATATATATGCCTATTTCTGGTAACTTTTCTGTTCACTTAATATTCGCACGATTACATACTGAAGTTACACTCCTCATCATGTAATCACTTCCTTTTACTTGAATTTCGAACAAAACAGAATCCTCTTTGTAATAATGTATTCCACTTTCATGAAGAAGTGTTATGTACACTCATATGCTGTCCAGCAACTTGAGAATACTATTCGATGAAATGTGATATCGCAAACCTCTTCAACCGTATAAGTTTTCAAGCAACGTCATCTTTGTTGAAACAGTTTGTTCCCTTTGGAAAGTTTAAATGAAAAATTAGAAGGACAACTGTTCCAGCATAATAACACTTCGTTGTCTCCTTACAACAGCGTAACGGCGAACACAGCTTACAATGAATAATTATTCCTCAGGATTTTTAGTTACATGAAGTAAAAGACAGCAGTATTAACCAGTAGTCATAATAAATCAAGCAGTTCAGAGGTGATAAAGGGTCAGATGCGTCATTTCCTGAACACAACTTTGGGTATGTGGTTAATCCAAGTTTCTTCCATCCCCCTTGATGCATATGGGTTGAAACAAACGGTCATTAGCATCAATTTTGTGACCAGTCATCAATAAATGCTTGGCAATAGATGATGCTGGGTTTCTATTCATGTTCCTTACCTTTGGTTGAATCATGTAATTTTATAGGCACAGAGTAACATGTTCTTTCCTACGGTGCTGCTTCATTCTGTTAGTCCTCCCTACATAGGTTTTTCTATAACTGCAGGTGAACTTGCAGATCCCATGTGAGGTGGGATTACCAGATTTCCGATCGCTAAATACTGGCACTAGAAGAGAAAATGTCGGTGAGATTAAATTAAGAGAAGCGGCTTAAAAAGTTAGGTTGATAACCAACCAAAGTCTTTCAGATGTCAACTGTTATCTGGTCATGTTAGAATTGGACTTTAATGAAGACCACTTTATTTGTTAAAGTAGCTGTCTTTTCAGTAAGTAATTAGTTTTCACTGCGTCATGCAATGAATATTTCCGGATAACCACTAGTCTGTAAAACTGAATGTATGCACTATTATAAGAGTAAAACTTGGTCACTGTGGTCGATTATAATTCCATTTACTGGATAACGTTTTGGACACAATTTATTGTCCATATTCATATCACGTGATATGAATATGGACAATAAATTGTATCCGAAACGTTATCCAGTAAATACTACTGTTTCACTGTGTGATATTTCTAATAAACAGACTAAAATGAATGTATACACTGCATTTCGTCATCCACTGTATGCCTGTTGCTTATTCTACGACTTCTTCAGAATAGACATTTAGCCAAAAAAACGTTTATAGTGAATTCGAACAAAGCTACTAAAGTGGAGATATTGCGCATTTCAGCTTTATTTTCGAAACATCGGTCCTCCGATAGTTCTGTCATATTGTTTGAGGATTAAAATGTCCAGAAAACCCAATTTATCACTCGTTTCATATTAAAATGTCATAGAAATATTTAAATGAATACGACTGATTAGGACAATAAAAGTATTAATTCATTCATGATCGGACCTTTTATTTGTTTTTCCAATTTAGTCCAAAATACATGAGATAACAGGAGACCAAACATGCTCACTATTGTAACACCAAAAATTTGTTTGTATACTGTGTTGATAACTGAATGGTTGACTTTGAAGGCCACCTCAATAAATACTGAAATAACCAACTGGAGTTCTGTTTTGTTTTTTGAGAAAACTACATTTCCACTCGAAATAAAGAAACCTATTGGGTAATTCGATATTTTCGTAGGGTGTTCTTTAAAGTCATTCGTATCCGATGGAGTTATGAATTAATTTATCCGCACTATCATCCCAGAATGTAACAGAAAAAATAAGGATTCTTGCATTACCTATTTTTCACTCAGCTTCAAAAACAGGTTATGCAACCAGTACAATCAATCTCATTTACTCAACATTGAATATCCCACAAAGAGGTGCGAAATTCATGAAAGCGCTACATCCACAAAGTATTATGTACTAGGATACAACAACCTGGTTAGTCATCATCGAAGTTTTTCGAGAACATTATGAAAACCAGGTGAAATAAAACCGGCAACTAATCAAACTGAAAGTAATTATTGGTAACAACTATAGTTCTAAATGAAGCACACAAAGATTAATTTAAACAAGAAAACTAGTGACGACAGTAAAATGTTATTGCCATGGTAAAAAGCGACTGCACATACACAAAGATCAGGTTTTAGTTCATGAATAGCTAAGGCCATCGCTGTTTTAATGAGTTGAAAACGAGGAAAATGTGAAGAGGGTTGAGCTAATTGGATAAACAATTTTAAGTCATTATCTGGGTAAGTTGAGTGATTAAAATCAATCAGATGTCATATAATAGAACTCCTAACAGACTTTCTTTCACCTTGACGAAACCAGGCTGAAACGTGGTCTCGTGCACTTGTAGAAAACATTCTCAGACTACTTCCGATGTACCTTGTTCCACAAAACTAGGTGAACTGGTAGACGCACATGCAGGTGTTGTGTTTCGAAAACTGTTATGGCCACTAACGATGCATGGATATTGACTGTCAGCTGCCAACGTTCAGCAAATTCCTAGTTGATTTTTGATAAGGTAATTAGAAGACGTAGATTATTTGAAAAATGTGATATGTTTGCGCTATACCGTTCGAACAATCTGATCACAAAATTTCTTGTTATATGGGGGAGAGGAAAAATATGACATGGAGGAATTCGGTAGTAAGAAAGATAATGAAAGGGAAAAGTATAAGATTTGAAGACAACCTTCGTAATACGATAAAACAAGCATCACCAAGGTAGGCTTGGCATAAGGACAAACTGCTTTTGTACACAAAATGGGGGGTTAAATTTGTTTATGGCTAGCGCCTCAGCAAACTTAAGTATATGCCCCTGACAGTTTATTTACAAAATTGCAAAGGCTGTTTTAATATCAATCCTCTTACCCTTATCAATGATATGTTTTGCAATGGATGATGATGGTTGTCCACCACCTACGATTATCGATGTTTGTGAATCCATTTGCTTTTGTAGCCATTTTAGAACATGTTCCCCTACCCTCAAGTGCATATCACAATTAGTCCTCCCTATATGTGTTTTTCCACACATTCGTAAATTTATAAACGCAATGGGATGTGACTCAATCGTTTACACAGCTTTGAAGTCTATGTTGCAGCAGGTGTTTGTTCTTCTCAACTACGATGAGCTTAGCTGTATAGTTGATTCCCGACCCGATGGACGTGTAGAAACGTGTATTGGGGTCAAAAGACCGAAGACCAGAACAAAATAAAATATATCTGATATGTAGATAGTTTGCTACTTACAATAATAGTATTGATTGGCTAATCCACCGAATAGTTTACGGCTAGTTGATTCTAATCATTCGACTTACCCAGATAATGACTTAAAATTGTTTATCCAATTAGCTCAACCCTCTTCACATTTTCCTCGTTTTCAACTCCTTAAGACAGCGATGGTTTTAGCTATTCATGAACTAAAACCTGATCTATGTGTATGTGCAGTCGCTTTTTACCATGACCATGCTATTTTTCCGTCTTCACTAGTTTTCCTTTTTTTGAATTAATGTTTGTATCCTTCCTTTGGCGCTATTATTATTGTTATAGTTACTTTCAATTTGATTAGTTGCCAGTTTTATTTCACTTGATTGTCCTAATCTTTTGTGAAGGCCTTTATTTTAATATATGTACCACTTTCATTGATATTAAGTCTCTTTATGCGTTATACGCCAGTGTGTTAACTTGTCTCTATATTACGTAATCTTCCTTGTTATTATCGATACTTAAACTGTTGTTGTAACCATGATCACCGATGCCATCGTCACTAATACTATCGTTATTGTTGTTAAGTATGTGTATTCACGCTAACATAGTCTTGGTAATATAGACTCAGTTATATTTAATGGCTAACCAGTAAAATTGTAAGATCAGGGAAAGTAGAATAGTACAACAATAATCACTGCGAATGTCTGTACATATATGGACACTTTCTACATCCCAGACGACTCATTCATGCATCACATGTATGTCTGTCACTTTCTAGATTATTACACAATCAGTGTGATCCTGCAAGCAATTTTAGATGATATTGTGTCTACTCACTAACCAATAATGGACATATATTCTCGTTGGAACTGTAAATATGAGTGTGTAACTTCTTAAAACAATTCATCGAAAAGAAAATTTTCTTCACCGAATTGTCCTGTCACCTCGTGTTCTTTGTTTTTAGTTGGAGTAAATTTTTCACATTTCAAGTATGGCAGATGCATCATTCCTATTACCTGTTTCGGATGCTGATCCGATGAACAAGAATTCGGTAATCTGTATCTCTCCCCACCTAAATATGTTAGATTGAAGTACACTTGCTTTATTCCACCTTGTTCTATGGTGTTGTATCAGTGCATGGGTCGCAGTAGCCATTTTATTTCTAAATCGATGATTTCAATGGGATCTGTCACTCCAAATTTGGCTAAATTCCAATGCTCCGATAATCTAACTGACTCTAATCGACTGGTTTGACGTACATATTTGAACTCATAGTTATTGCATGTTATGTGGCAAGTCAAATTATTTTGTTTAATTGGATCAGTTTGATCCTCAAGTCGACAGTTTACTTCTGAATGAGTTTGTAGGTATGCACATCACCTTAACTCCAACCTTGTTAATAATTTTGTATAGATTCTCTAGTGTTTCTTCCTTGTATGGTAACACGATAGACATTTTGAACTCTGTTATACCTATTTTGCTGTTATTGTTCGTATTGCTGTTACTACTTCGTTTATTACATGTTCTTACGAATTTCTTAATAAACTTTAGAGGATAATTACTATGAATTAGCAGTGGTTCATTTGTGTTTCAATTCTTCTTTAAGCCCTTGAATTCATCAGTAAGTTTTTTGGCCGCGTTATTTAAAAAGTTGACCAAACCCACTTAGTCTGATATTGGAATGAGACGACTGGAAGTCTAGATATCTGTTAGTGTGTTGGTTCCCTATAGACGATAGCATCCAAACTGCCACTTTTTTTGTCACTCTACAGTCCAACACAGCTAATTCTCCTTGTTCATTTTCTAATTCGTAAATGGACTAAATTGTACTTACTACTGAGTTTATATGTTTGAAGAAACTATCAATATGTTCCAATTTCAATATGGTAAATGTGTCATTCACATACCTCCACTACATCTTGGAAGTAGGATTAGACATCCCTAAAGCCATATACTCCTGACAATAAACATGTCTGCTACGATTGGAAATATTGGTGGTTCCATTGCTAGTCCTGTCTGTTTATAAATTTTCTCCTGAAATATACACCTTACATGACCTCATCAACTGATACTTTTGTTCTCTGAGCAAGTTCATTACATTAATTTTTACAAACAATTTTTGATGACCTTGTTTTTAAGCAGTTAACCATTGATAAATATATATTCTTGTTTTAACTATTAATACGAATGTACAGCTTCTGAAAATGATCCATCGAAAGGAAATTTTTCTTCCATGAATTATCTTTTCTTAGTTTTTCATGACTCAATGAGACTGTTTCAATGACTTTATAACTACGCTTACCATAAACTGCAAACGGTAAACTTCTTGAATGCATTCTGTCTTCGCCCTTTCTGAATACTGATTAATCGTATTGTAAACAATAATAATAATAATACTAATCTGTTGTATTACGGTTAATTGCATCAAGCAAATGGACATTTAATGGAAACAAACAAATGTGTTATTATGGGATTTTATCAAGAGCATGCGAGGGAGTAAATTTACAATTTTTAGTGAACGGTGGGATTTATTTATAATTCAATATAGAAATGTAATAAGCAGTTTAGATTTTAGGTCGTTTTTAATGATAGAAGCTCAAATACAAATATAAAAAACTTCATAGTAAAGTTAGTGCTGATGATGTCATCTAGAAAGATGATGAAACCTCTACGATTAAACAACCCAACTCAGAGAACACAATACAACCAAGACAATGTATAATCTTCTAATTTTGTTTATAACGTTACAAACTGAATTAATTCTGAATTCTCCTTTAACGAAGGCATTCACTGTCTTCATCACATGATAAAGTACAACTTGGATAAATCTTTAAGGGTAGAAAACATATTAAGACAAATGTACGTACTTGATTCCTATCCCTTTTAGTCTCTGAAAGGCTATTTTATTACCGTATGCAGCTCTATTTTAAATTTTTACAAAGGATATGGATCATTGGGTCTTATGACTTCTGTACTAATGTGCCCTGATGGAAAAAGTATTGAAGCTGAAGCAGCCCATGGAACGGTTACACGGCACTATAGAGAACATCAAAAGGGTAATCCAACTAGTACCAATCCAATCGCCAGTATATTTGCATGGACTAGAGGTCTTGAACATAGAGGGAAACTTGATAGAAATCCTCAACTAATCAGGTGAGCTTTGCTTGATAATTGATAAATAATTTGATGCATATTGGCAAAAAATTAGGTTATATATATATATATATATATATATATATATATATATATATATATATATATATATATATATATATAGTACACTTTTTTTGGCCTATTTATGTGAAGTGATGGGTTATTGGCTTAAACACTTCTAGTCAGTTGGTGACTAGTTCGAACGCTACTGTACCTTTCCAAATTTGAACAATCATTGATTATCATTATCTGTCACGTCATGGATATTGTTCACATTTTAGTGAATGGATACTGGTGTAGCTGCTGAGTAACTAATCCCATTATTCTCTGTAGTATTTATATATTCTGATGTGCGTGTGTTGAATACTTACACCCTATCGTTATGAGCATAAGACCTATTTCTGTGATTTGGTAAAGGTTTTGAATTATCTTTATACGTACACAGAAAAAGGAGTTGAATTTAGTTAGGATCGAAAGTTGTCTGACTGGAGTATAGGGTAATTTCTTCTTTTTCTCTTGTTAATTTTGTTGCTTTGTGAGTTTGTGTTTTTCTAGTTAGAGCGTTCGATACCAGTCTAACCGTTGCTTTTAGTACTGCTTGTTAGAACATTCACAGATATCTATCGATCACAATGGTTTTTAACTAGTTTGATGTAATTCTAGTAAACATGCTTGTGCACTTTTAAATCTGTGACAGTTTGGGATAACCGCTCATTTTTCAACCAGTCAGTCACGAGTTTGAAGCTCACTGTCACCTACTGAGCTATGAACATCCAAGTGGTATCATAAAGCATGAGTAAATAGGTGTGAATCATTGCCTACCTCATGAAAGTGCATTTGTTTTCTGAGTTGCATTTTGCATTTATATTTCTGCATCAAGTTTTCACAAGTGTCAACTTAAAATCAGTTGAATTCCTTTTATGATGACATTCCGGAGTAATAAGTTTCGGCATAATTTTGTGAAAGTTACTTATCAGTTTCAAATAATCTCATCAGTAATCAACCCTCTGGTCCGTCTCTCTAATTCAGCTCAATTAAAATCAGGATGAAGAGTCATGGCTGTACAGCTAATGTGCTGACATCAACTAAATCCTTACATGTTGCGCATTCAAATAAGGGGTAGGAGAAGACAGATCGAGAGACAAATCAATATAGAACCAAGCAAAGAAGTGTATCGGTTCAAGTTGTCACACTTCTCAGCAGCATGTAAAGAATAAGTGGATAGAAACACATTGATACTAAGGTAAATGAAAACCTATGAGAGGAGAGAGTTGAACTAGATGAAAGTTAGCGATAATGTTCAAACTTCCGGAAATATCAGTGCATACATCTGGTCCATTGCCATTGGCTTTCAGTCAAGCGTTAATTCCAACCATTAATTCTTATTATCTCAACGATGCTAGCCAAACAGTCCACAACTCCCCACCCGGCTCAAACCAGCAGTCAAAATCTTCATGGACTGCAGCCAAGTCTTGGTCTGATCACACAGTCCATTCTTCTAACGCAATACTGCTTCGGCTAACATTGCACGTCGATGTAGGCTTTTGTTTAACATGCCATCCCAGTCGGTGTATTTTACCAATCTCATCAACTGACTTGCCGATTTACCTAGTAGATTCCACCTGACTTCTACAGTACCGACATAGTGATTCCATTGTGTGTGGATGGTGCTATAAAAACATCTTTGGTGGTAGTGGTTTGGTGTCCTCCGAAGTTTGATATTTTGTCGTGGATGTTTCATCACCAGATTTGGTGTTGCTTCATCAATAACTTCATAAAGAAATGAAACATACTGGAATGTTACACGAATGTTTAGATGGTCTTATTACTAACTTTTGGTATTGTGTTCAATTGTAACTTGGGGACGAGGTTTTTATGATGCTCTAATATCTTTGGTCTTACATTCAATTCAATCACGCTGGTTTAGAATCTTTGTTAGAGCAAAATTATTCTATTGGTTACTGTGACATTGTGTTTCATTATTGATTTGTTTGGAGAATTCACACTAGGTTGGTGGATGACTGTTTTCTTTCCAAGTAGATTGTAGATTGAGTATATGTCTACCTATCTGTTGATGAACTTTTTGTTGGAATGCTGTGCTTCTAGAAATTCTTTTACAACTTGTGAATATGCTCTTTGGAGGATTTCTACATTCTCCCAGTCGAATTTGTGATCGTGATTGTCTGCATACTTCGAAACCCAAGGAGGATGCACCATACCGTTTTAATGCTAGTTGATGTCCATGAATTCTCTGAGTAATCCGATGGTTAGTCTTGCCAACATAATATTGTCAGAAATCTTTACAATTGATTTTGTAGATTATATTTGTTCTGTATTCCTTTGGTTTGTGTACTACACCGATGCTGAACAGTCGAAACAACCGGTTGATAGTTTCTGAGACATCTTTAATGTACGGTAGCGTAACACGCCTATGCATCTGAGGTAATTGACCTGTCTTTTGTTCTGCTGATGAACACTTTTTGGGATAGTTGAGTGGGTTATCACGGACTTTCCGACTGTCCGTTTTGCTTCATTGCTACAATGTGTTTTGGCTCTTGAGAATAGTGTTTTTACACAAGGTTTCTTCTGGACTGTAGTATGTTTGCTACAGGTTGGACTGCAGTGCAATTTACTCGTCCTTTTAACAGGTGGTCGAATGTCTGGTCGGCGGTAGGAGCGACCCCATTTCGAAAATACCGATAGTTTTCTTTGTATCTGAGCTGAAATTTCGTCAACAATCGACCTGTGTGAGATTATACAACTTCATTAAGGTAGAAAATGAAAATCCATAAAATCTTTATAAGATTGATCCTCTGGTTGCAGGTAATCTCATCATACTCAAATACAAGATTTATAATTTTTTAATCGTTTCCAAATTTATTTTTTCAGTGCAATTCTCGAATTTCGTTTGCTAAATTCACTCCTTAATCATTTTGTTTTCCTCTCTTTTCACCTCATATTTATCTACAGATTCAGTCACAAGTTGGAGAAAGCATGTGTAGACACTGTGGAGTCAGGTAGAATGACTAAAGACCTTGCTATTTGTATTCATGGAGCTAAAGATGTGAAACCGATTCACTATATGACTACTATGGACTTTCTAGATGCAGTTGTTGACCGACTTAATGAAATGCCTTAGTGGGATAAAAGTGTCTTTAGAATATTTTCAATGTCTCTACAGAAATATGTATTTTTCATTCTATTGAACAGTGTATGTATATGTCAGTGAAAAATAACTTTCTTTAGACAAACTCAATTAACCTCCATTGCTTTTTTTCGGAGTACTCTTTATTGATTCTGGTATCTTGTATTACTGTAATAAATGTGTTTTCAAGTAATGGTATCTATTAGTAATATTTATCATGAGAACACAACAATGTTAAGCGGTGTTACTTAGACTTTCACTATCTCCAATTGAACATTAGAAATCTGGTATAAAAGTAAAACTTGGACACCATGATAGAATGTAATTCCATTTTAACTGAGTTATTAGATGTATTGCACAGTGAAATAGTTGTTTATTGAATTATGCGTTTCGGACACTGTTTATTGTCCATATTCATATCACGAGGACTCCACAAACCCAAAAACCTGACCACTATATCAAGAGATTGAACAGTACTTTCATTAATTATATAGTGATGATGGATAATGGCTAACAGTGGAATCCAGGATGAGCATTTCGTCCTATTTGGGACTCGTCAGCTAGGTGTACATGCCTTCCAGTAAGTGATGCTTTTCCTATCCTGATTCGAACTCTGAGTCGATCGCTTTGAACTCCAGAGCGTTATCCACTAGACTACCGAGCCACGATAGCCACTTCTTGTGCGATAGGTATAGTTTTTGTGTTATTGCTGTAATATGGCATTTTAACAATCATGAAACCCAATATATCAGGCTAAAAGTCATAGTTTACAAGTTTTGAAAACTTTTTTAGACGCTAATTATGCAATTGTTTGGTTTACGGGTTAGAAATAAAGAACACAAATTGTAAATCATAGCTCCTCCGACATTGGTGAATTGTGTTGCACAATGTGAGGAAATTAATAGGTTCCTTTAGGAGATTATTGTCAACACCATGTGATGTAGTTTGAGCTATAAAATATCAGTAGTAACCCACCATAGTGGTTTGCTAGTCATTTCAGTGTTTCTGTATTTGATTCAGTATTCGTACTGTGTCAACACTTCATTTTATCTGTACACACAGTTGGTTATGATCAGGTTAATGTGGTGTACCTCTTGTGAATAATGAATAATAGACTTTGTGATTCATAAGTTGACATTGTATGTTAATAACATCAGTCTACGTGGTTCATTGTCGATTAGGCATTTACAAATTGTTACCAGATGTTTTTTAAAGCTATTGCATATTCAGAATATAATAATATTGAGCTAGTTAACTTTTGGTATCATCTGCTGCTCTCTTCTCTAACGTCGTTGAGATGACAGTTATTGTCAACAGTTTATATCATGTAAACACCACAGACATATAGCAAATGGTATTTCACCTACTTGGTAACTCTTCCATGATATAAAAAGCATTTGCTTTGCTTCTGTAACCACATAAGTTTTATAAATTGTAAGATCTTGTGGAGTGAATCCAACTGGCTTCACAGACAAGCATGAGCATTGCAACACCCATATTAATGCAGTGTATTCCTCCCTCCGAATGTATTCTGGACTGAATAATGTTTTCTTTGAAGGATGCTTTTTAGCAAATAAGAATTTCCATTATTGTATTTAAGAGCGAAACCTCAGCATGGCTGTTTCACTTGATTTAATCATGTGTATTTGATAAGCAAACTAAACTGGAATTATATGAGAATAAATTTAGCATGAAGTAATCTTTTCAAGTTTTTGGAATGTTTATGAGGATCTGTATGAATTTATTATTCCTGATATTGTATAAAAAGATAGAGAAGGGCACGCTTAGCTCCATCATTATCTGGCTAATCGTGAATAGTTTATCAGCTGCAGTAATCATTGGACAGAAAAAAAGAATGATTTCTCTTGAAGGAGAATCTTGTTGCTGAAGTTACTTCTATGCTATTCAGGTTTCAGTAGCAAACTACTGACTTGAAGTACAGACTTGCATCACACTGGAGAGTAGGAGTTTCTCAAGTTTGTAGATCGGCCTTGCTGATAGTTCCCAACATGTACAAAACTTCGACAAAGCAGGACCCCCTAAACGTTTCTTGTCACTTTCACAAGTAGTTACGTAGGCTTAATCTCTAAAAGTTAACTAGCACTTTATATTAGCTAATGGTTACACGAGTTGTTATTCTCTAACTAATTTATAAATATTACTATTACATCGAAATACAATGATCGTTGGTGTACGCAAAAACTCAGGTGAAAATTCAATTTGCGCAAGACTGATTACTGTCAAAGTTTCTCCAGCTTCAAACATAGAGTCTATAAATTAATAGAACTAATATTCACAGCGGAAGTATAATTATGGAATCTCAATGAAGTGGGTAAGTAAATCCCTGATATTTTCCTAACCACGAGATTTCATATCAGTTCCCAAATGAAGAAGTGATTTGTAAAGATCACGGTACAGAAAGAGGCTTGCGAATAAGTTTCCTTCATAGATATGTGTCAGATTTCTGTGTGTCATTATTTAGGACTTGAATAATTCATATGAGGTTTATGAAAGATTTCACGGTATTTGTAATTTTCAGTCATGAATACAGTGATTATTTTTAAAATAAATAATCAGTCCGAACAAGTTCTGTGGAATTCTTAGACACTTAGATAGAATAATCTTGATTAATTTGTTTGAAAAGAATTTATATCGGACCATAGATTGAAATATTCTAACTTTTCATATATATTTTAACAGTATGTGCCGATGAAAACATTTTCCTGACTGATTTACAAAGAAAAATGCTAGACATTCTGACCTCAACTAGTTGATTATACTCTCTACATTTTTGTCTAGTATCATGTCTGAAGTAATAGTGATGTATAGGTCAGATTTATCCGAAATATTTTTAACAGGAAATGCCATTCTGACTATCTGAGATATCCGTGGTTTGGAAGACTAGTATTTATACTGAGTGGAGTGAAAATTTGGACTGTGGCCGAATTTGAACCAGTGACCACCAGGTTTCCGTCCACATGCTCTACTAACTGAACTACGAGGCGCGACTGCTAACCAGGTTTTTATTCTGCTTCAATCACCATGGATTTTGCTTGACTAACATGTGAATTCGTGACGCGTTACTACCGCTTGATCGTATTCAATCACCACCGAGTATCAATACCAATCTACCAAACTACGGCTATCTCAGATAGTCGAAATGATACTAATATGCTACTTCCCCTCTCCAGTTCAGTTAGATTTAGACTGGGATGAGAAGTCCTAACTGGGCAGCAAGTGTGAACATGATCAAGCGGTCTGACAAAATCCTTGGTGGTTGAAGTGAAATGCAAATCTGGTCAACAGTCAGGCCTCATAGGTCAGTTGGTAGCACATAGGGCCGGAAACCCGATGTTAGCTGGTTTGAATCCGCCCGCGGTCCAAACTTTCATTTTACCTTCAACCATTACTCAGTATAAATACTTAATCTTTACAATCATTAATGTATAACTCAAAAACAGGCGATTTCCATGCATCTGAACAGGAGCCCATATGCTAATATAGATCGATCAATTCGGTTATTCAAGGACGAGATAATACAATCATAAACAAGAACTGCACTCTTCCCATAAGAAGTAACTATCTTGACTCAGTGGTCTGGTAGACAACACTCTGACGTTTAAGAAAGTCGGTCCTCAGTTCCAGTCCTTGTGGTAAGAACATCGCACAGTAGGACCCAGGTATATCCACCTGCCGGGTCTCAAATTGGACGAAACGCGCGACTTGAGTGCACTGATAGCCACTATCCATTACTCATAGATTCATTTATTGTTTCAACTCATAGCTTTTCAATTCTGTCATCGTTTGAAAACTCAAATTTTCGAAACCTGAGAATCAACCATTCAACATGAATAATTATCATCACTTGGTTTATGTCCTCATTAACTTTAAAAATTAACAAAAATATCTACCTAGAATATTCAATTAATGCAACTTATAGAAACCTATCAACTCAGTAAGTTCGCAGTTTCTCAGATTTTCTACCTGCTTTCAGTTCACTGCTAGTATTGTCAACGCTTAATTGAAGATAAGTCATAATCAACCACATTGTAGGAAGCAATATACTCTGAAATCAGATGCAGTAAATTTGTTTCATGCATTTATTTCCCTCAAACGATTTGAAAAGAGAGAATAGGTCAAGCTCGGAGAACTCAGTGCACCATGTATATTCGCCTGAGTTACACTCCACCAGTCAAAACAAATCAACACCTCAGGAATGTTTGTCAAAGTTTATTGATAAAACTGGTTAGATTGAAGGCGAAATTCGCCATCCAACACTTTAAAGAAACATTCGGAATCTTGAGGTTAAAACCTAACAACATTTTGGCTAGTTGATATCGTGAGATCGAACTGGAGGGTTGGATATGAATGGCATGAAAAAGATGAATTTGAGTTAAACTGCTACAATCGTGGTCATCTGTAGTAAAGGTAGATCAATTGAAATAAGGATTTGGTAGGAAGAGGAGATGAAATTCGCTTTTGGAAGTTTGTGACCGACACTGACGATGATCGGTCGTCATTTCTTCCTCACCACAAAGGTCGTGTTAATTTGCTGGTCTTTACGGTATTGGATTACTTCAGCAAATACGAGTTACTCAGTCACTTCTAACTCAGTTGCCACTTCTACTAAGAGGTGGGATTCGTGCGATGGAATTGTTGACATCTTCGTACCTCTCAGGTGTAGATTGTTGTGAGATATGTGGGGGGAAAACAAGTGTACACTTGTTCCTCCATCCTCTTCATTTACTCCTGATATTTAGGCATTTACGTGAAGATGGGAAGATGGAGTTTGAGATAGAATACAGTAGGTGTCTATCAATTTCTGTCTGCACTGATGAGTAGTGAAACTCGCTCGTATGGAGATAACAGTTACACCACTTGAAACGTTGTATCGAGCCCCGATCAGCTATTTACAATAACACAGAACAGGTGAGGCCACAATGCATCCTAAGCAGAACAACTGATTCTATATGGTATTCGTAGACTTAGAAGGAACAGCTGTCTTGTACCGTGCAGCATTCAGTGTAACCCACTGAATTTCAGTTTCATGATGAAGATTATCCTAACATCAAATAAGAGATCTCACAACATCTTTTGAAAATGATTTGTATAATGCAATATTCATCAAGTATTTTGCAGCACACATCGAATGTGGTTTTGCATAGACTTGTCAATCAACTTCTACAATGATGA